CAGCAGTGTTGCGATTTAAAAGACTTCTGTAGTAGAATCTGGAAAAATGTGATAGATTTCATTTTTAAGATAGTTTGTTATTTATTTTTCTTTTTTATAAGTACATATTACGAAACCGAAAATATTATGAGTACTTAAACCCGGAAGATAATTTAGGTAGGCCTTCTCAAGTAAAGCCATTCTAAGAGGCCTACCCAAGAAGGGCTGAAAAAAGTGCTTCCTTGCATGCCTTCTAGAAGGGCTTATCCATTTGCAAGTTACGCGAATGCATAATTCATATTATTTAGCATTACCAATGAGGTTCAATAAACATTTTATGTTGCAATAACACATATTTGATATAAACCTTAAGCAAATACTTCAAAGATGTATGATTTTTATAAATTAAAGAAGCAACTTTAAAAGAACTCCTCCAAAAGGCCTTCTGAAGTACGTCCTATAGAAGCCCTTCTGGAAGGATTTCCATGGGTAGCGCTAGAAGAAGCCCTTCAATTTGTGCCACTCCATACAAGAAGAAAGGATTGTAGAGTGGAAGGCCTCTTGTGTCTCAGGAAGGCCTTTAGGAAGGGCTTTTAACCCCTGAAATTATCTACTGGGTGATATCACTCTTAGGCACTCCACACATTACGCGCCTAACAAAGTGGAGTAATCGTTCCTTCCTGCCGAAACGAATGCATAACGATTCGACTTCTGCACACTTGAACGCCTTGTCACTAGCTAATAAACGCTTTCTACACATAACACATTTTCCTGCCGTTTTTTTCGCAACTACACACTTCCGCAAATATATCAGCAGCGAAATATTGCATAAACGCTTGTGGTTTAATACAATTAGCACGAAAGCATTAATTTTCAATTGTGTCCTATTTGAAATCACAAATAATTTTCATTTCCAATACAAAAAGTAAACAAATGACGATTTCAAAACGGTAAGCGCCTTACAATGTTAGGCGCTTCGACTCATGAAGCTTTTATGATTAGGTGAAAACATGATTATGAATCGTAGTGTAAGAGCTTCATTGAAATACATGTGTTCGGTATAAAAGCTTCGTACTTTAGTATGCCGGAACGATTACACTACTATGACTAGGCG